TACTAATGACCATTTTCAGGCAGTGGACCACAAGGAGAAATAAAATATACGAACAGTGTTGAATATGGGCCCTTAAAATTCAGAGTGAACTGCTAATAGTAAGTTAACTGAACAATAGTCTGTGTGTTACATTCTGTCAACTTATTATTCAAAGTCCAATAAAAGCTAAGTTTTACGGCAGGCAGGTTATTTACTGTTTTAAGGTAAACCATTTATTTTACAGTGTCTGTGTTATTGGTTCAGTGCCTATAAATCACAACGTTGAGTCGGAAATTGTGGGCTTGGTAGAGCTCAGGTTGATTTGAGAGAGTCGTTTCTTCTTCTTATCAGACCGCTGTCCACTAGCCACTGTGCTATCAGCTACAGATGCAATCTCTATCTGATCTCTCTCTCTCCCTCTCCCCTCATTCCCGTTTTATCCCATCCTCTGATCATCCCTGTCTTTTTCATCCTCTCCTTATCTCCCCACTTCCTTCCTTCCCTCTCTCTCACTCATGCATCCTCCTTTCCTTCCTTTTCCGTCGCCTGTGTTCTTTGTTTGTCCTTCATCACCTTTGCTATTTCTCCCACTCTGTCTCTCTCCCTCCCTCCGGATTCCCACCCGCTCTCTCTCGATCTGCTGATTGTCAGTATTCATCGTGTCCCTTAATGTCCGAGCCAGCCTCCATTTTCTCTCTGCTGTTGCTCATCATGTTGTGGCTGTGGCTATAGAGCAAACTGCACCTTCCTCACTTTGCACCGGTCATTCGCACCATGGTAATTACAATACAGGTCCAGATTTCATAAACAAACATCTCTCATAGACATGCGTAGTGCTGCATTGTTCATTGTTCACTTCTAGTGCGTTGCTCATTGCTTTTACTGAGTTGGTTTTAGATTAAAGACTGAAGTGAGTTTGAAAAGAGAGCAGAGAGAATTAAGAACACGTTGTGCAATTTTAGAATACTTTGGAAGTTCATCTTTGGCACTGGCATAGTGAACATTACACGCTGTTTGTCATATGAGTAGTAATTCTTAGAAGAATCATTTTGCTGTACTATTCAAACATATTAACTTAATTACATTTGATTAAATAATACGTTTACACAATGACTGAATTTACTTTACATTAGTATTCTGTATTGACAGGATTGTGTCCAGCTGCCAAATTTTCTATTTGTTTCAGTGTTAAACAATGACAAAATCTAAAAAATGGTTTCTTTTCCACAAAACAAGACTACAAATCATATTCAAATCATAAGAAAATATCTCCTCTCGTACTTACAAACACAAATGTAATATTAATTAAAACTTTAGCGTCTGCACTTTCAATACTTTCTCCACTTTTTCTTCACTTTTTTCAATTTCATTTTTTTTTCTGTACAGATTATTGAGATGTAAACACAAGTCATTCAGAGTGGTTTGATGTGAAATGCTCCTTTCTGTTTTCACACCAAGTGTGAAAATGTGAATGGTAAGTCTGGCCTGATGCCTTAGACCAGGGGTCTTTAATAAAAATTTAATAAGTTTAGAGAAAATTTCCTCAAGCAAAGGTCCAGAACATCATAATGTCTAACTTGCTTTATGATTCAGTGCCATATACGGTATACTGAAGTAGTCTAGTAGTTATATCAACATCTTATATAGTCAACAACTGAATGTCAAATCAAATAAAGTACAATTCAGTAATATTTCAACATTTATTGTCAGTTTTAGAGCATGCCATGTGAAATAACCTCCCTCTGACTCTCTTCTTCGACTGCTGTTTCTCACCCTTTTGGCTGTTTTAGCCAAAATCTCTTTAGAAATTCCACACAGTGTTGCCTGGTAAATAGGAGAAAAAAAGTTTTCTTTGACTATTTTGCCTTACAGCACGGTGTGTTTTTTTTAAAGTACATATTAAGAACTTCTGTAGGTTCAGAGGTTATTTTATGTAATAAAAATTGCAATATTTGTGTTGTAGACATCACAACACCTGGTCTCCACTCACAACCATTGTAAATAAGTCAGGACGTTTGACTACAGTGAACCATTTTGAGTTCAAACTACTCTGAATGACTGTTTTAAACAATCAAATTATACTGAAAGTTTGGAAATTGAGTAGAATTCCACTTTAAACAGTATTGGATAGATTGCTTTACTTATTATTTCATAAAGAAAGTAAGGCTGCATTCAACTGAAGCATGTAACTTGAAATATCTCACCTCCAACTGTGAGAAATTAATAAAAACGCTCCCTCAACTGGGAATTCCCACTCAGAAAGCTGGAATGTTGTTCTCAACACCAAGCTCAGAGTTGTCAAATCAGCACACCTACTCACCACTTCTGTACTTTTAAACAAGGTTTGCTTTAGATCCGTCAACACACAGACACAGTAGTTAATTAAGCTATAACATTGTCCATAAAGTTTTGAGAAGGTAAATACATCATGAAATTTAAACTTATCACTCATGTCACTAATGTGGGGGTTTAAAATGACGCAGCTCAGAGCTCCAATTTTCTACTTCTAAGCCAAGACAAATGCAGCATCATCTCATAATGCAGAAAAATCAGCATATAGCGTACTCATTACTTTACTTCTATGTTACTCTCTATAGCCCATACAGATCTGTACAACTGGAAAATACAAGGGACAGACCAAAAGTCATTTCAGTACTTTATTTAGAAAGAAAGATATAGCTATTGAGATTAAATGTCATTTGAAAGCATGTCATTATCTCTGCTTATACTCTCAACAACACCCAGCCAGTTATGCTTAATTAAAATTAGCTAATGCTATTTTGTAACATAGAAATGCACCAGTAGAAACAGGCCACAGGGATCTGTGCAGGTAGCACATTTGGATGCAAATGACCCACGAGGACAAGCATAGATAATACACGTAGACAAATATGTAAATCTGTTTATATTAATAATTGTAGTGATTGCAAGAATTTAAATTGTAATGTGTGGCAATACTTCATTACAGGAAAAAGCAATTACATTACAGTAACATGTTACTTTGTACTATTTAAGCCGCAAACACTGGCAATCAGCTAGAAACAATAAATATAAAAGATTAACAGCCATAGAAATGATGACTTATTAGTACACTGGAATGATAGGACATGAGATGTACTGCTCTTATTTTGCGGAGAGAAAGAAAAAAGGAAAGTCATTCCGTTTTTTTTTTTAGCAGAGAGAGTAACAGAGAGGCTTGTAGTGAGCTGGGGAAGATGAGAATCTATAGGGGATGCACTAGTGTCATGTTTCACATCGATGGATCCTGCAGCTCTGTGTTTTCACCTCCCTCCACTCTTCGCTTCTCCAGCATTTTTACTGGAGCTGATCCTGGGTCAGCTGGAGAAAAATGGTCCGATGGCCATCCTCACTGCTCCTCAGCCTTGTTGAGAACAAAACGTGTGAAGTCACACTGTAGTTTATTTTTCCCCATAAACAGAATCAGTCACTAACACAGCCTGCATTCATCTCAGAATGGACACTGAGTGGACATCAGTATGGAGTGGTGGGCACTCTAGGTGGTCTAGGCCTGCAGAACAATGTAAAGGGGCTTGGAATGAATGAAGGAAATGCAATAAAGCAATAAGCCACTCGAGGCCATGTGTTGCTTTTTGGCCTAAGGTAACAGAATCTCTTAAGGGAATCCTCAGGCCTTTTTAAGACTTCTTAGTGGTATCTAGGTAGCCAAGCGAGATCTCCCCTTGGTTAAGACTTTAGGAGCTGAACTCCGAAGGTCTAACATGTTACTACTGTAATAACGTAATTAGGAAGTGACAGAGGAATCAACCAATCACGGGTTGATCTACAGTGGGTTGGACCAATTGTGTGAAAAAAAACATCACATTGGGCTTTCTAGAAGTCTTAGAGACCTCACTGACTGCAAGTACAAGTGCTTAAGGAGTACACTTAAGTGAGTTGCTAGAAATGGAAAACAGTGGCAGCTCTATGCCAGGGTAAAATATGTTACTTTGTCTATTAAAAGCTTAAAGTAAAACATTGGAATGTCTTTTACAAGCTTCAGATGAATTTAGAACAGAAAAAATAATCAGATGAATAGCTGTTAGCTTAGCGCTAAAATACTACTAGAATTCCATAGACGGGCTAATAATTAACTTTATTGTATAGGTGTATTTAACTAGTTGTTTTGTCGAGTTTTGACATTTATGGCCTGACCTGAAGACCTTGTGCTAATATTCACCATTGCAGATTTCAGTATCATAAAATATGCACCATTAAATGCACCATTAAATGCAGTTCATTAAGGGGACTCTTTGGTTGCAGGGCAGCATACTGATCAAAGGTTCTTCCATGAACTGCATTGTGGTTTTTAATAACATTAATTGAACATTTAATAACATTAATACTGAAATCCATTGATGTGTATGGTAACGTGTGTGCATTTTGAGTATTTACCAATGGCTTTAAACATGGCTCAACCAATTAGATTTTAGATCTGAATCTGTTTGTTTTATAATGCTTTTATCATCATTGTACTTTTATTATATTGTCATTCAGCAGCCCCTGAATATGATGCTTAGTGTTACATTACAGCCAAAATGAGCTTTCTTGTGAAATCTTTAAAAAAAAATCAGTGCCTTTTTCTATGCAAAGCATCTTCCAAATGCTTTGTGATGATGCTAAGGAAGCTGCTATACCCAGTCTGGACCTTTGTGTTGCATGATAGGTATGGAAATTACTGGACATCATGAGTCTCTGTGGAGTAACAGTTGGCAGAACTGTTAGTATAAATATAGGCAAAGTGCACGGAAGCCAGCATCCACTGAGAGCCAGGCTTTGTTTTTTCTTCAGTGCACATCAAGCAGAGAGCAAGTACGCAGACCATTCCCACCTTTAGGTCCGTTACTTAAAGATTTACAGGCGTCCTCTTACTGACATTTTCTTTCTTCACTCTAAATGTGTTCCACTTTTACTGCGAGCTGAAGTGTTAGTAGGCTAAAAGGTCATGACTCTCTCTCTCTCCCTCTCTCTTTCTCTCTCTCTCCTTCCTCCCGCTGTTTTAGGCAAAGATTGCCAGCCAAGAATGTGTATTACTACCGCTGCCCAGACCACCGGAGGAACTACGTCATGTCTTTTGCCTTCTGTTTCGACCGAGAGGATGACGTGTACCAGTTTGCCTACTGTTACCCCTACACCTACTCCCGCCTACAGCACTATCTGACCAGCCTCGAGCAGCGGAACCTAGACTACCTAAAGAGAGAGCAGCTGGGCCTCAGTGTGGTGAGTGAGAGTGTGTGTGTGTTTGTGTGTCTTTGTGTGTGTTTGTTTTCATACAACATACAACATATTATACAAAGATAATGAGGAAAACACAGGAAAACCAGAGCATACACTGAAAATATACACTACTGTGCAAAAGTCAGAGACCACTTTTCATTTATTTAATTTCCAGTTGAAACAGCCATTAATTTGTCAACACCAGGAAAAAAGCAGAAACCATACAATTAACAGACCAGTACACAGCAGCCTCAACAACTAAATATATCTTTTTTTCAGTGTTTAGTGTGCTGACTCTTTGCCTTTATTACAGCTTCCATTCTTTTCAGGAGACTTGCTTTCAGTTTTCAATGATTTATTTTTTTTTTTACCAAGAAGTTGGTTGCCTTTTCTGCTTCTCACAATCCAAATAATCCCAAATGTATTCATTGTTGTTGAGGTCTGGACTCTGGGGTGGCCAGTCCATTGTTCTAAAAACACCAGCAGCTTCTTTGATTCATTAGCACATTTTCTTTTTGGCCTATTTCCCTTTCTCAGTGAGGGCTTCTTGACAGCTACACATCCTTTCAGACCCATAGCGTTGAGTTGTCATCTCAAAAAGATGTGGAAAGACGCACAGAAACACCTGTGGATTTTTTAAAGCTTAAGCAAGAGTGGAGCTTGATTTTCTCATCTTTCTCAGAAGTGAAAGCTTTAAATGCTGTTTGTCTAATGAGTTTTAAGTAATTTTCTGAACTATAGTTTTGGAAACTCATATTTTCCTTTTACATGCTTATGCAAGCAGTTTGTCATATATAATAAAAATTAATTGCTTAATGACTATTTTAATTTGACTGTAAATGAAAGGTTGGTCTCTGACTTTTGCACAGTGTACATATATATGTACAGGGTTGGGGGGTTACTTTAAAATGTGTTTAGTTACAGATTACTGATAACCTGTTTAAAATGTTATTGTAATCTAATTAAATAATCGGATTACTTCCCATTACTGTTGCATTACTTGTCTTTTTAATGTCACATAATTAAATAAAGGCAAGAACAAAAATTTTATTCGACTTTTTCATCAAGAATTTTACTTAACACAAGGCAAACAAGGTAAACTGTTCTGTTTTATGAAACAAAACGAGAGGTATGTCACTTTATTGTCTGTGCTTTATGTGTGCCATGTGTATGTCCATTTGCAAATTTGGGTATTCAGATAAGGTGAGATGCAGAACTATGGAGAAGGTAAGACCTAAGAAGCTAATATTGAGCCTCATACAAACAGAACAGCTAAATTTAAATGGACAAAATATATGGAAATATTTCAGACATAAAGATGACAAATTTGTACAATATAACTTACTTCAATTTTGACGTGTGTAAAAAAGATAGCAAGCTCAGGAATCAACACACAGCTCTCCAGGAGAATGACTTTAAGAGGAAAATTAAGAGACTCAGAAACGGTGCACTGAGACTAAAACCATGGAATGATGCAGTTCATTGTGCTCAACAGCTATGCAAATGCAATGTATTTTAAACTATACTGCCTTCCTGGGATTTTGCCTTATTTTTAAAAACCTGTTGCTTACTATGTTTAAAGATCTGGTAGACAGCTTCTTTTGAGACCCCTCCTCAGTATAATGGACTATTCATTCTGAAAACTCTATCTGGTCATCATTTGTATTACATCTGCTAAAAGGCAGATATAAAAAAATTTTTCAGCAAAATAAATATAATTTGTAGAATGAGGTTGAGTTGAACACCGGCAAATCAATTTTGAACACACAATAGAACAGCATGATAAAATTAAAATAATTTTATTTACATGACATCTGTAGTAGATATTTGATGAATATGTGCATAAAGTCTCCCAAACAGTTAACTTTTTTGAATTTTTATGGTGGAATATGGACTTCTGTCTGTGTTTTCTTTGGGCAGTTTGAGTTGTAACAGCTTGGTAAAACCAGCCCCAGACGTGTGGAGCCTATACTTTAGCCTGGTTAAGCTGTGTGTTATTTACATAATTCAAGCGGGTGATCAAAATCAGTAAATGAAAAACATTTAAGATGTAAAAATCACTTTCATGGTAAAAGATCAGTCTTCAAGGTGAATCTGATTGCTGTCAAAATTTGCAGATGAGGTTGCTGTGGGAATAGGAGATGATGACCAAACACATTTACATGTAGCTACATTAAAAGGATTATAGAACATTTTACCCCACATTAGGTTTTGCCCTCTGCTTCCCTTTGTAGTTATATAAACTTATATAATACACTTGACATCCTTGTCCTGACAGGATATAAAAACAAGTGTGTGTGTGTGTGTGTGTGTCTATTTACAATAACACTCACTTCTGATGGAATGGACAAACAAAGAATTATTCTCTTGAGTCTTAATACTGGACAGCCTGAGGATTTGATTCTGGTTTTATCATCTTTAATTGTGTTTTTCTGTGTACATTTCCTAAAGCACACTAAAAGGTCTTTAGGGCATGTGGTGTAGCTCCATGAACTCCAGCTCCTCCAGTTCACTTCTAGATATCTACACATGCATAGTGTGCTGCTATATCTGCTCCCTCCCCCTGACTCGTTCTCCCCAAAGGGACTGTGTGTGTGTGCGTGTGTTTGAGATCAGAGCGCTCAGCCTGCGCTGGCCCAGGTGCTGGATCATGCACAGCGCCTGCAGTGCTGTCTCTGCTCTTATCAAATAATTGTAGAAGAAAAACTCATTAGAAATGCTTGAAAGATTAAGACCCGTTTTCATTTTTTCCATCACTTCCACGTTGTCAAGGAGAGCTAGGCTGCAAGGGCCTGCGATGAAAGGACGTTTATTGATAAGGAACGTGGCATCAGTTTAGAAAAGAAGTCCGCTTCTTATGAAATGTGATTTGAATGGGTAAATTATACGGGGAGGGATAAATTGAGCAAATTTGCATCTCAGTGATTGCAGTTCAGAAACAGAGGTACTGTCTGCTCAACAGCAAATGAACCGCTGCTTACAAAACCTAGAAAGTTAAAACATCACAGCTTTTTTGCTGACGGGAAATCTTATGAAATACTCTTCACTGCATTAGTGTAGTGCCTGCACTGCTGGGCAAGCTTGAGGTCTGTTCTTATAGATCTGATGCTTAATTCTTGTTCGGTTTATGAAGGTAGAATTGACATTTGAATTAAGAGTTGACTTTTGAAAACAGAATAGATTCTGATTTGGAATTATTCTCACAAAAGGAAGTGCTGAAAGTCCTACATTGTTGAATGTGGTGTGTGGAGATGAACTAAATGCATTTTTTAAATTGCTTTATGCATTAATCTTGAATTAATCTGTCTTAGTCCATTTACCTTTCAATTAGAAATAAGCCTGTCAATGACATAACTAATGACTGTGCTTTCATTCTCATGCAGTCACAGTCATGCATATACTCAGATTGTGAGGATAAAGATGCAGTTAATAGCATATGTGTAATTCACACACAGTCGCATGCAAGTTGCCCCTGATCAAATGATATGTTTTGTTGTTTTTCAAAGTGAAAATAAGTTAAAACATTCTCTACAGAGAACACACATCTGTGCATTTGAATGCACAATTACTTTTATTTCCTGAATAATGGGGTCCTATGCAAAAGCATATAATATAAAAAAATGCATTTTATATTTCATGTTTTTTTGTTTTTCAAAAATGTTAAACTTGTCAAATAAATAGAAATTGTGCACTCATATGTGCAGAAAAATGTTTTGTTTCCTGTAGAGGATGTGTTAACTTATTTTCAATTAGAAAATCAACAAAACATGTAATTTGACCAGGGATATTCAAACTTCTGCATACGACTATATACTGATGACTTGTAGTTCACCAGTTAGCAGGAATCTTTTAGTAAAGCAGCGAATTGTATTTGAATATTACGAAATTACATCATATAAAAACATCTCTGTCACAGTAAGCCTTAGCAATATTATGATTATTAGTACAACCCCAAAAAAATTGGGAAGCTGTGCAAAATGTGAATAAAAACAGAATGCAGTTCTGTGCAAATCATTTAATTGAAACAAATATAAAGACAACATAACAAATAAAATACACACCTTCTGCGTGTATTACAGCAACATTGCTCTGCAGTAAAATAGTCCAGGTGCTACCTGTCATCCAATGATGACATTTGGTGCATTATGAGACAAAAGATACGGCAAAGGACACCCGAACTGTTATGCAGCTGAAATCCTGTATCAACAGGAGTGGGAAAACATTTCACTTTCAGAATTACAGTAATTGGTCTCCTCAGTTCCCAAACGCTTACAGAGTGTTGGTAAAAGAAGAGGTGATGCAACACAGTGGTAAACATGCCTCTGTCCTAACTTTTTTGAAATGTGTTGCTGGCATTAAATTCAAAAAGGATATATATATATATTTTAAAAACAATAGAATTTCTCATTTTCAGCATTTGATGTTGTCTTTGTACTATTTTCAATTAAACATAGGGTTTAAATGAATTGTACATCACAATGCTGTTTTATTTACATTTTGCACATCATGCCAACTTTTTTGGAAATTAAGTTATAGATTTAGTTGTAGTAGTAGTTGTAGGCCAATACTAGTAGTGCTAATGTTAATGTACTGGCACTATTTCTGCTACCAGATAAGGTTTTCCCTTAGGACTGTGAGGAAATATCCCTTGAAATGAATAGATTTACAGAGCCTACCAGTTTTGTCCTTTTCTTTTTGTCCATTTTCAACTGGCACCCTGGACAAATTGACTGCATGGCTTGTCACACCATGAAACCAGGAGCAAACCTGCATGTTATGACCACTGCAGAAAAAGCCTGATCTTGAGATACTTTACATAAATGGACAGGTGTGACTCAGAATTGATATTAGACTGTATATCCCGCTTTCATGATGCAATGCATCAGGCAGTTAACTAATCACATGCAGCATTAATGTGACAAACAAACCTTGAAAAAGAACTGAACTGTAGCCTGTACATTCATTCTATACAAAGAAAGTTTTACTTAAATAAAATAATATGC